CAGAAGTTGTCCCTGGAGGCTTTCAAGAAGAGGCTGGGCTGCCATCGGTCAGAAATGGTGTACGCTCTCCTGCTTGGACTAGATGACCTCCAAGGTCCCTTCCAACACTGTTCATCTGTAATCTGTAATATGATGAACGGTTGCAGGAACCGGGCCTGGCTAGTCTAGGGAAGAGAAGGACCAGGGGAGACAGGAGAGCATCTTCCAGTATTTGAGGGGCTGCCCCAAAGAGGAACCCTGCACTATGATGTGGCCCCAAGGGCGAATCAATCCATTCAATCAATCAATCAATATTGTGGCGACCAAAACCGGACGCAATACCCCGCAATACAAGTGTGCCCTTACCAAGGCCTTATCAAAAGGGACTAACCCTTCACAGGTGCTGCCTGAGGTTCAACGACCACCTTCGACCTGCAAAACTCACCTGAATCCTCACTCCGACGTCTCTCCTTTCAGCAAAAATCTCAGCAAAAACTTAACACGGTGGTTAAAAAAATGCCATGGATTTACAGAGCCTTACCTGTTGGGAACAGATCTGAGAATTTATGATGGGGGTGTGGGGGTGGGGGGAAAGCTGTCTAATTTTAGCTGCCCGCAATCTTGCACGGACATCCAGCGCGTCCCCCTCCCTCCCTCCCTCCCTCGGGCAGAATCCGGGCCGTGTAAATGTTTGAGGTTGCTAAGCGACAGTGTGGGGGGGGGAGTGGGAGGGGGGGGAAGCAATCCATCTATTCTCAGGGCGGCTGGGAAAGGTGAGCCTGCCAACGTCTCCCGTTGTCGTGGCTCCATCTCGGGGTGGTGGGAACCGAGAGAGGGGTGGGTGGGGTGAGAGGGAAGCCCAACCGTTCACAGCCAGTGAGTCTTGGACCTTCTCCAAGGAAGATTCTTGCAAGGCCTGATCAGAGGCAGGAAATCAGGGTTACGGCTGGAAACCCAGGATGGAAAACGGCTCAGCTTGCTGAGCAAACCTCTTCCAGATTACAAACCGGTTTGTCGTTTCTTTGCCCTAACCGAGCTTGGAGGGCACACAATCTATGGGTTGCAAGTCTCTGGTAGGAGCCATCAGGATTGTGCTCCCCATGGTTTCCATCCAATCCTTGTCAAGCATGGCTAGCTGTGTAGCGTGGGAGAGCAACGGGCATCATTAGCATATTATTCACACCGATTGTGACTAGGGTCAGGTGAAGGGTTAATTGATAAGGCCTTGGTAAAAGCCACCCTTGGAATATTTGCATCCAGTTTTGGTCGCCGCGATGTAGAAAAGATGCGGAGACTCTAGAAAGAGTGCAGAGAAGAGCAAGAACAATGATTAAGGGACTGGAGACTAAAATATACAATGAATGGTTGCAGGAACTGGGAATGTCTAGTTTAATGGAAAGAAGGACCAGGGGAAACATGATGGGAGTCTTCCAATATCTCAGGGGTTGCCCCAAAGAAGAGGGAGTCAAACTATTCTCCAAGGCACCTGAGGGCAGAACAAGCAACTTAAAACTGAGGAGGAATTTCCTG